CCGCGCGGCTTACATCCGCCGGGCCTCGGCAGTCTTTCCCCCCCGCTCCGAGTAACCTTGGCTCTCTTCCCCCCCTTCGTGTGGCCTGCGGCTTCCCTCGCCGCTGCTGCCTCCTCAAAGCGAGGCCTCAGCAGTCTCTCTTCCCGCCGCCTCAAAGCGGGCCTCGGCAGTCTCTCTCCCCCCCCCGCTCCGAGTAACCTCGGCTCTCTTTCCTGCCCCCCCTCCGTGTGGCCCGCGGCTTCCCTCGCCGCCGCGGCTTCCCTCACTGGTCGCTCGCTCCCCTCCCCCCGCACTGAAGCGAGGTAGGTCGCAGAGCATTCCCTGCGCATGCGCAGGGAACACTCTTTTAGTTTTGGGGGGATTTAAATATCCCCCCGATAGCTTTTTAAAGTTTTTAGATTTTTGTGCACACCTGGGGACTGCCCCAAGTGTGCACAGAAATCTCCCTGCCCCCCAGGTGCCCCCGATGCGCGGATTTAGATATCCGCACGCAGGGGGCGCCTTTCGCTATTAGTATAAGGATGTTTGGAAGAAACCCTACAGCTTAGAGGGGAATGTGGAGCAAAACCTCCACATGGAAGCAACCTGTGACTGTATGCAGTTGAGTAGGCATCTATGAAAGGGAAATCTTATATAATAACAAGAAAGGGGACCCACGAAAATCGCGGGGGGGGGGGAGCGGGGGAGCTCCACACAGAGCATTTAAATTTGTGGACTATGGCAACAATTACAATTTAACTACATTTAAATTTGTGGATTATGGCAACAATTCCTTTATAACACTATATAGTAATACTATAAGTTGTTCTTTGTCTTTTCTTACAGTTGCAGTTTGGCAGGTCGAGCTTATCCACTGGGCAATATTCCTGAAGATCTGGTGCCCTTGGTTAAAAACCAGGTGGGTTAAAATATACTGTAACATGTGCTAGAGCAATTTAATTCTTTTTAAAGATGAAAACTGTGTGGGTTTAAAAATAGGAAAATATTCCTGAAGGCCATTTTTTGCTGCTGATTGCTCTTTCCTCAGTCTGCGAATACTAAATATCCACTCGGGCAGTGGCTGCCTCAGCAGCACCCCAATGTTTTCTGAGCTCAGATTCATATGCTATGAGCCAATGGTTGCAATCCTAAGAACACTTTTCTGGGAGTAAGCCCCATTGCATAAAATGAAACTTATTTCTTTGTAAGTCTGCTTAGGATTGCTCCCTGTGTTTCATGGTGGGACCATAAAGGAAACAAGAATGCCTGTAGAAATACAAAGTTTGAGTCCATTGGCACCTTTAATACCAGCAAAGTTTTATTCAAGGTATAAGCTTTCGTGTGTATGCACACTTCTTCAGATACAATGAAATGGAAGTTACCAGTCCAGTAAATTAGCATAAAACATAATAAAGATGTTTAACAGATTCAAGGAGCAGACAGGAATAGCAAGCTTAGTTTATATGGTTACCATTTGTTTGGGTATAATTCCGGGGGGAAACATAGTGAAGGAAATAAATATGTCAAAATTGGGGACTGATGGGCAGGTGGAATTCTGAGATAAATTGAGACCCTGCCCTTACACTCCATCCGTCTCCTCTCAAGCATGGCGTTATCATCTTCTTTGAACTGGGTGATTGGCTGTGTAGAGTTATCTCACCTGTCCCCAGACCAGAGAAATACATTCCAGCCTACAATTCCAAATTATATTACATTCTACTATTCATTATGTTACATTACAATCTACTATTATAATCTACGTTCTACACTGCTCCTTCTATGGGTCCATTCGAAACAAAGTGCCGAATCAACTTCCTGTAAATTTTTCTGGCTCAGATGATGAATGTATCAATTTTCCTATTGGCTGATGCTATCCCTTTTGTTACCCTCAAAGTGGTTATTTTTATATTTTTATCAATAAATATAAGGAAAAATTAGTACCTGCTAATTCTGCAAGAATTCTAGCTAAATTGTAATTCCATGTTATCTTATGGTTCTTTTGTTGCATTTATTTCTTACCATCTTATTTTAAACTTTTTAAGTTTTTACATTACATTACACATTTGACGTATATACCGCTCCTTCCCGGAGGCTCGGAGCGGTTTACATAGACATTTTAACTTTACCTAACTAGGGCCACAGTGCAAGGGGAGGGGTGAGTGCCTATCCTGTTATGTAAAAATGTTTTAATTCTTCTGTTGTGGCATACTGTTATATGCTGGTATATATACTGGAATGTTATGGCCTATGGCTACAACAATAACAATAAACTAACATCTTTGTAGAAATGCATATATATGTAGAAAATCCTAAGAAAAGGTAGGAACAACAGCAAATTAAAAAACACGAAAAGGTCGTTTCTTGCCTTGCATTCCATTTATGTCTTATTCTTTCATTTCCTTATGTTAACGCACAAATATAAGAGCTATTGGCATTGGCAGATGACTGTAATGGTGTCTTTTTGGTAATCTTGATAGGAGTGATGAGATTTTTAAAAAATTGGATATTAACACTGCCTTTGTGATTGTCTTTAGAATAAGTATTTGGGTCTCCGCCCTGTTCCACTGAGAAATATTAAAGCTCCTGATTAACTGATTTCTTTTCATGGTTTTGTTTGTTATGGGCTCCATTAGAATGTAGTGCCTAATATATATTTATATATGGCCATGAGGAATGTTAATTTCTGTGTTTGCTGTATAAAGCTTAATTAAAATTTTGGCTTGGGGAGAGGGATGCATATGGGTTAGTTAGAACATGTTGCATTGCACATAGTACTTGAGCTTAGGGCAAATCTTAATGTTAATCATATACATTTAAAATCAGAGTTTCCATCACTGGCCTGACGTAAATTCTAACCCCTCTCCCCCAGTTCTTGGCCTGCAATTCACCAGGTAGTCATGGTCTCTTTTCTATTTTAAATCCTGTTAACAATGTTTTACCTATCTTTTGTTTATCCTTATGTCCACATACTAGATTCAATGTGTTAGGAAGAGATTCATGTTTGTCTAGTAAGCCTTTCTGCCCTTTGCCAGAATGCATCATTTGGGGCAACCTGTGGTGATAATTTCTGCTCAAATACCAGCAAGCAGCAATAAATGTCAATAATTGTGAAAATGGATGTAAGAAACAATGGGGTATGTTAAACTGAAGTCCTCTGCCTACTGCTAACCCGTTGACCTCATGCCATGATATACATTTTCAGCACAGTGGATAGTACTTAAGCCATAGCGCACTATATTGACAATTCATTTACTCTACTCCAGAAGGTTTCTAGAATTGATAAATTTAGAACAGTTCCTTCAGGTTTTTGCACATTAATTATGAGAAGACACCATTAATTTTTCATTGCAGGTCTTTGAATTTCTTATCCGTTTGCACTCAGCTGAAGCATCAGTAGATGAAGAAGTTTACCCCTATGTACGTACGCTGTTACACTTCGATACTCGGGAGTTTTTGAATGTGCTTGCATTGGTAAGTGGCAATAAAACTTCCAGAAAGTTATTGTGGAAGAAATCCTATCATTCTCTACACTGAATTTGTTTTATATCTTCTTAGATGAGCTTTTTACTGATCTAAAAAATTTAATCTGTCGTTACTTTTAAATCTGTTAATTATGATGCTTGGGAATCTTTGGTGGCAGAATTCAAAGCCACTGCAAAATCTACTTATGCAGTAGTATTCCCATCCTTGAGGAAACAACAGTCCATTCCATTATTATTGAAAAATGTGTTAGAAGAAAGGAGATTTGAATTACTGTCATACCTAGCAGATTTCCCCCCAGTGGTGAATTTATTGGCCTTAAACCAGTTTAGGCTCATTATATATTGAGTAAGGTGAATGCATAAATTAAGTAATTGCTGTATCCTAAACTTTCTGTAAAGCAAGCACAGGGAGTCATTATACTGTCTGAATGGATGTTATTATAAAGCAATGTAACTCCTCAGCCAATAATACATACTGCCAAACTAGATTATACTAGATTATACGGTGACTAATTTGTCTAGTACTGTAGATTCCTTTACTTAGCTGGGTAAAGTATAAATTATTATGCAGCAGCAAAGATGCTCAGCATATAGTTCTAGCATGGAAATAGCTGCAAAAAGACCAGTCCCTGCAGTTGCTCCTTCTGGAAGCCAGAGGCTGCCATGGCACTAATTATAGGAACAGAGAAACAAAAGACTGTCTTTGTGTTCCCTTTTGATTTTAATGTAGGGCAGTAGATGCATGTGTGAACTTTAGAGATTTTAAAGCTGCAAGGGATGATCAAGGTTGGGGGGTGAGGCACAGGGCGGTAAACTTCAGGCCCTTTCAGATCATTTTTGGATCATCAGCTCCTAGTTCATTGCTGATAGTTTTACACTGGACACACACAGGCCACTCTGCAAATCGTAGTTGTTGATTAACATTGCTCAGTACAAAATGAAGACTTCTTTTTATGCTGAGTTCTGAATTATTTGATTTCCATTATTACCCTTTCATTGTTCTCTCGGCTTCTACTTGCATTTGCACCTTAGAGTGGGGATGCTGCTATACAGGAACTGAATGATAATAAAATTGGTGGCTCATGTAGACAATTATGCCAATACAAGACCAGTGTTGCAATATAGCTAAGATTATTGGTATTCTTGAAGCAAGCAGCTAGAAGAACTGTTGAACTCAACAGGTTTAGAAGTGTGTAATTCTGTTCAGGCCACTAAACAGAATTATTGCCACTTATTAGATGTCAAACTGTGCAAAAACGGTTTAGTTTTTGCACTGGACATATATAACGTCTCTATTGTGAATGGAATATCATTCAGTGCCAGTGATCACTCTAGGACCTAGATTAACACTTGAGCATATGGCATTTAAAATCCAATTTAGTAAGTTAAATTTTAAGTACTCTAGATATTTATATTTGGGCTTTTTATTTTAAGTTGACTCATAAGACACATCTTCACTTCCACCAATATACCCTTATGCTTTACCATCACATTTCTGGTTACTGTCTTCCTTGGAAGCATTGCCCCCTCTTCTGTTGCTTATAGCTACTCCTTAGGCTCTGCAGTTTCAACACTTTCAACACATCCCTTCCTTAGTTCCCTTGCTGTCCTCTCCCTATGAACTAGTCATTCTTCTGATTTCCCGATCTGGGTCCTTTCAAAACCTGGCTCAAGCATAATTTCTCTGGGCCTGCCTGGTTCAAAGCTGTAACATCCTGCACACACAGTCGTCATACCCCATGCATGAAAGAGAAATCATAGAATCATAGAATCACAGAGTTGGAAGGGGCTATACAGGCCATCTAGTCCATCCCTCTGCTCAATGCAGGATCAGCCTAGAGCATCCCTGACAAGTGTTTGTCCAGCCGCTGCTTAAAGACTGCCAGTGAGGAGGAGCTTACCACCTCCCGAGGCAGCCGATTCCAATGTTGGACAACTCTTACTGTAAAAACGTTTTCCCTAATATCCAGCCGGTACCTTCCCACCCTTAATTTAAACCCATTACTGCGAGTCCTCCTATCCTTTGTTGCCAACAGGAACAGCTCCTTGTCCTCCTCTAAGTGACAGCCCTTCAAATACTTCAGGAGAGCAGTCTTGTCCCCCCTCAACTTTCTCTTCTCCAGACTAAACATTCTCAAGTTCCTCAGTTTTTCCTCATAGGGCTTGGTCTCCAGGTCCCCAATCATCCTTGTCGCTCTCATCTGCACCCACTCCATTCTGTCCACATCCTTTTTGAAGTGAGGCCTCCAGAACTGCACACAGTACTCCAGGTGCGGCCTGACCAACGCAGTGTACAGTGGGACTATGACATCTTGCGATTTGGATGTTATGCTTCTGTCTATACACCCCAAGATCACCTTGGTTGGAAGGGCGGGGTAGAAATTTAATCAATCAATCAATCAGCCTTTTTTGTCATTGCATCACACTGGCTGCTCATATTTAACTTATGGTCCACCCATACCCAAAGATCTTGTTCACACACACTGCTACTCAGAAGTGTATTCCCCATCGAGTGTGTGTTTCTCATTTTTGTTCCCGGATGTAGAACTCAGCACTTACCCTTGTTAAATGGCACCTTGTTCACATCTGCCCACTTTTCCAGCATGTTCAGAACTCATTGAATTCTATATCTTCTGGTGTGTGCACTTCTCCTCCCAATTTGGTGTCATCTGCAAATGTAATGAGTAGCCCCTCCACTCCCTCACCCAGATCACTAATAAAAATATTGAAAAGTATTGAAAAGGAGGGGAAGTATATTTTATTTCTGAAATGACATGACATTCCAGGACCTGTCTGTTCTTCTTCAACCCCATGCTTTGGCCCTGTTTGATAGCTTTGTTCACTCTGTCAGTCATCTTGAATGCCTCTGAAGAAGAGAATTGGCACTGGAAGTCATATTTGCTATTAGAATGAGGGAATGTAGGAAATTTATTTTGGGGGGGAAATGGATACTGACTATTACTGGTATGTTTTATTTCACATTTTTAAGAGATAAAATTGTGAGATATTTTTCTTCTCTTTCCAAATTATGCTTTGTAATAGACATTTGAGGACTTTAAGAATGACAAGCAAGCTGTGGAGTATCAACAAAGAATTGTTGACATCCTTCTCAAGGTAAATTTTTTTGCATTTGTTTTAGTTGTTCTGCGGTGCATGCTGTGTGATAGCCAGGGTGTAAACGTGGATTCTTTCTGATTTACATGCAAGCCCTGTCATTGGCTCAGAATGCTTCCTTTAATAAGTTCATCACTTGTGTGGCTTGCTCATTTATAAGAAGGCATTCCTTTTTACTACCTTTTTTAGAGATACTTGGTTGAGAAATATTTTCTGGATCTTAATATAATTCACTGCTACTTCTATGTTTGTGTTAATTCACTGCTACATCTATGTTTGTGTTAATTCACTGTGAGCCACCCTGAGCCCGCTTCGCGGGAGGGCGGGTTATAAATTGAACTTACAAATAAATAAATAATAAATTAATTAATATGAGCTGGCTGAGTTGGCAAATCCTAAACTATGTATAAGGTTTACTAGACGATGGGAAAGTCCCCCAAAAGCCCTACCATTGATTTGAAATGGAGCATAAAATTATAAGCTTATTAATATTGGTTTACACATGGTGGCAATAAAAATATCAATATAATGACAGAATAGTTATGCAGAGTGCTCTTTCTTCGTCAGCTGTGTCCCACTCTTTTCTATAGTGTGTCAGTGAAACCAAAATGTTTTGATGTGTGTATACGGTTGACTAGATAGGTGGAGTATACTCCCCTCTGAAAGAATCTATGCTGAAAAGTACTAACAGTGGAATCCTAAGCAGTTATACCTTGCTGTTGAAGTCAATGAACCTAGAATGGTGTAGCTTTGCTTAGGATTCCACTGTAAGGCAACAAAGAAGTGTGATCACAGGAGGCTGGTACAATTGCTAGTGCAAGTGGTGTCAACCATGTGATAGGATAATTCAATAAACAGCAGAGCTGAGAACTGACTTTATTCCAGATGCAGACTGTTAATGGTACTCACAGAGAGAATCTTCTTTTGGCCAGAAAACTTAACAGAAAAGATATTGTAAAGAAAGATTCAATACATTTTTAACAACTGAGAAATAAGATGTATAGCAAAAGCTATCAAAATCAATTCACTCAATCCTATATTAATCTGCTGTGAAGGCTTGGTATAAGCATATAGAGCTATTACTTCACAGAAGATGAAAGTATAGTTCAGTTTTCTAGCCATGGTGCAACACCAGGTCTCACCATTTTAAATGCCCTTGCCACAGGTTAATTTCTTAGAGTAAGTTAAGAAGGCATTTGTCATTTGTCTGTCTGCAATATCTTATCATAAATATCTACTTTTTCTTAAATCTGTCTGCAACTGGTAGAGTGGATGATGGCAGACAGTTGTTAGTGTCCCACCTTTGCTGCTTTTAGTTCTAGTGGCTGCCATTTTTCTACTGCAGTCCAACAAGTGTGTAGCCTGGGCATGTTCTGAGATTCTTTCTTCTACACTTCAGTTACCAGACTCTTTTGACTGCAAGATCTTGGGTATCATGTACTGTACTAACCCTATTAACTGAGGACACTCATGTTTTCTAGACAGGTGTGTCTGAGCTTGTATGCTTCTTTTGCTCAACATAGTTTCAGTTTGTCAGGTTGTATAAGCATTGGTGTAGCCAGAAAGTGAAGAAAAGCCTTGTTGACAGATGAGAAATCTGTCTAAATGTTCTCAGCAGGAGAAAGGCTGTCTCTCACATAAATGGTCTGAAGGACCTGAAGTAGACTCTAAAAGAGCAGGAGAGAAGGAACAATTAATTTTGGAATAAAGATGCAACCGACCGTGACAGGGACTATCTCCATGTTAATGTTTGCACTAATTCTACATGATGATATCAAAGTTCACCTTACTGTCTGGTATTCTAGAGAAGCTGAATAGGTGATGTACTAGATAAAGCAAGGAATGTTTGGTAGATAGCTGCAGAGTGATAAAATTGCTTACCAATTTGGTGTAGTAGTTACGAGCGCGGACTCTAATCTGGGAGAACCGGGTTTAAGAGAACATAAGAACATAAGAGAAGCCAATGTTGGATCAGGCCAATGGCCCATCCAGTCCAACACTCTGTCACACAGTGGCCAAAAATACCAGGTGCCATCAGGAGGTCCACCAGTGGAGCCATGACACTAGAAGCCCTCCCACTGTTGCCCCCCTCAAGCACCAAGAATACAGAGCATTGCTTGCCCCAGAGTTCCTATCTATACCTTGTGGCTAATAGCCACTGATGGAGCTCTCCTCCACTTCTCCACATGCATCTGCTGGTGTGACCTTGGGTCAGTCATAAGTTCTTTCAGAGCTGTTCTCTCAAGGGCAGTTCTTGAGAGAGCTCTCTCAGCCCACCTACCTCACAGGGTGTCTGCTGTGGGTGGGGGAAGGGATTATGAGCCACTCTGAGACTCCCTTGAATAGTGAAGGGTGAGGTATAAATCCAATCTCTTCTTCTTCTACCAAAAGTTGAATTCTTCTACCAAAATCTTATTGCATGAGATTTATAACTGACTGGTTAGCAAAGCAAAAATTTTGAAGCCAAATATTTTTCATTGTGAGTCTTGCAAGTTGATCCTTTTAGTGTTTTTTAAACCCTTAAACTAAGATGGTAAGGTTTATATGAATAATATTTATTCTAGCACTCCCAGGTTATTGTCTTCATTTTTGTTTCAGTTAAAAGCTGTGTAACAGGTTTTTTTTAAAAAAAAATCCTAAAACAACCCATCCTAGCCAGTCAAAGAAGACTAATGAAACCATAATAAAAATGGAGATGCAGGTAAAAATTCATCACATTGTCAAGAGGTGGCAGAGACAACAAGTCTCCATCCTTCTTGACCTCCCACATTGTCAAGCCTGGCATCCACCAGGCCTAGGGTAGGGTCCCCCCAGATACACCTTGTAAAGATTCTCACACCAGCTGGCTGAGCATTGGCAGGTGGCCCTTTAAGTCTCAGGTAGGCAGGGACAGATGGCCATTTGACAGCCAACTGTCTGAAAATCAGCTGTTGGAAAGCTCCACCCTAAGGGCAGGGAAGGGGAATAAGGAGGCAGAAATTGTTCAGAAGGTACTGTTGGTCCCTTACAGGCTTGGCCACACCCCCAAAGGACTCCTGAGTAGAAAGAGGCCACTGGGCATGCCCCAAAAGGTTTGAGGGAGGAGGTACACCATCTCTGGCTCCCAACTCAGAAGGGAGTAGAGCTACAGGAGAGAATCGGGTGGTGCTCAATCCCTGCTTCTTTCTGTCTGAGGCCAAGGAAAGACACTTAAGCCAAATTTGACCCTGGTGGGTAATGGCTGGCGCCTAGGATCCTTATACACTTTTGTTCTAATTAGGGTTGTTGACCTCCAGACAAAAGTGACTCCACAATTTGGAAAATTATTAAGAGATTACTAGGATTTTGAGTAGGCTTTGAGAGAGAGTTTTTCATTTAGTCAGTACAGTTTAGCCAGTTTATGCTTTCGACTTGTATCCCGCTCGAACCCCCGGGGGGTCTCTGAGCGGCTTACACAATTTCATTTATCCCTATCTATGGCCACATCGTCAGGGGTGGGGACTGCCCTACCGGCACCCTATGGTGGGACTCACTGTTCTTCGGCTTTTTTTGGCTTCGGCTCGGCCCGGCCTTGGCTCGGCTCTTCCTCTTCCGGTGGCCTTCTGAGTCGGCTGTTGTTTCTGGCGGGCCCATCTGGTGCATGGTTCGTATCAGCCCAGCTCCGGCTATGTCCTTTAGGCTCCGCCGCACCTGCACTTCTACGTTCCTGCATCTTCTGGCTCCGCCTCCGCCGCAGTTGTGTATGCATTTCTGTTCTTCTTCCTTCAAACATGATACTTCATCCCAAACTGTTCCTATTATTTTGCCTCCTTTCTCTACTGCAGCTCTTTTAAGATCTGTGGTCTTAACAAATGCCACAAAATTTTAGGGTGGCTACAGGTGAGCATTTATACAAATGGTTCTTGTCATGGAATGCACAGAACAGTGTACTAAGCAAGTTGTCCATAAGATGTAATCTATATGGTGATATGAATTTTATAATACATCTGTATTCAAGGAGGAGCAGGGGAGAAGTAATGTTTTGCCCTACCATATGGGCAGGTATGACATTATCATCATTATTCGTTTATTTAGTTTAATTATATCCCTCCTTTCTCTGCAGTGTGAACTTAAAGCTGCTTACATCATTCCTCTCTCTTCAATTTTATTATGTATACATCATTACTAAATTACTACTTGGAATCCTGTGGTTACAGAATGCAGCTGGAATACTTTATTCTGAACATAGCAGTAGTGCTGTATGTCTGACAATAGGGTTTTCAATGTGCAAAATGTGTTGATAATAGCATGGTCTGCTCAGAAATAACTTGACCTGTGCAAATTTTGTGCACAAGAGGGGGGAAAAAGATGGTAAAACCTGGCATAAATCTGAGAGAATGACTTCAAAATCTTGATTGGCTTTGAATAGCTTTAAGCTGAAAATGTGTTGGGTGGGGGGTGGAGTTGCTGAGAAAAAGCAGGAATGGGATAGAAGGAAAAATCCAGCTTCCTCCCTGTCCACTCGCCACTGTTCAGCTAATTATAGTGAGCTACTATGCTATTTCTTTATAGTCTAAATGAGCTGCACAGCTGTTATCCTACTGATAAATTCAGAACAATGTCAGTGCCCACTGCAGACAGGCACAGCACACTGTAATAGGACTTCTTTTTTGTTGATATGGCTATATCTGCTTTCAGTGATAAGGTTTCAGAGACAGTGTTTACATGCAGTCTGTGATGAGCTGAATTTAAGTTATGGTGAACATAATGAAAACTACAGATATATTGATATAATACTTGCCTTCACAGCAAAAATACTGCAATGGCAAGTACAGTCATGCTTTGCGAGAAAGAATGTGTTTGCCACAAGCTTATATGAACAGAAGCTCCATTTTTAATGATTTAGCATGTATGGAGAAGCATATCTTTTTGTCAATAATAATTTGCAAGTATGAATGCTACTTTGTTAATCACACCAAATTTCAGTCTGCTGCACAGCTGGACATCCATTTTATTATGGGGTTCTTGTTACTTGCTGTCTTTTTTCTGTTTCATGTGAGCAAAAGAATAAAATCTGCTAACCTAATACATTAACTGCTGTCCCAAACTAGGTTATGGTAGAGAACTCTGATTTTACACCTTCACAAGTTGGATGCCTCTTTACTTTCCTTGCCCGGCAGCTTGCTAAGCCCAACAACACACTGTTTGTGAACAGGACACTATTTGACCAGGTAAAGTGGAGAAGCACAAGTGGCTGTTTTTGAAGTACCTTAATCATTATATTGTGTGACATCATGATACAAAACTATGAGGTTATGTGCAGGGTTGGGAGGAAGCATGGGAATTCTGTGGTTTTGTAAAAAATAAATGGAGCCCTGACCCGGATAGACCAGGCAAGCCTGATCTCATCAAATCTTGCCTTAGAATACCAGCATTCAAGAGGCAGGGGCAGGCTTTATTCAGCCACCTCTCTGAATATTCACCAGAGGTCGCCATGACTTCCAGGTGTGCGTGCGCAAACACACACATGTATATAAAAATACCCCCCAAAAAATACCCAAAAAAAAGGAAAGCAAAATTCAAAAGACACATAGGAAGATTTCCCAAAAAGTTTTACTTTTCTCATTGACTCACTAACTGCTCTGTTTTGCCCAGTTCACACATCATGACATTCATTCTAGGTATGTTAAAGACTCAGCTATTTTTCTGAAATGTCATAATAATCCCAGTATATCTTTCATTGAGAGTCTGTCCTCTTTGTCCAGGTCCTCGAATTCCTCTGCAGTCCTGATGATGATTCACGACACTCCGAAAGACAGCAGGTATGAATCCCTAGAGGAATAATTCATGCTGTGAGAGTGATGCATGGTTAAAGAAGGAAGGTCATTGCTAAG